TTATAGAGAGCTAGTAGGGACAAATTTGTTAATGAGAATAGAAGTAATATATTGTTGAAGAAAAAAATACAATTTGAGACTTGATGGTTGCAAATGAGAGAACTCACTCCTATTTATAGATTTGTGGGCTTAGAATAAAGGGTGTTACGATATTCTAAGTGTCATACACCTTTGTTACTTGTAGTATCTTCCATGTAAATATTTGGATATTTACAATGTTTTAGGCTTCTCTAAGTTTTTCTTTATCTATTTAGTGTTTTCTAGAATGTTGATTGAAGGAGGTAAGTTTCAATGTTGCTCAGAACCGTCTAGAAGACATAATTGACACTTAGTTTTTAATACTGTATTAGAGCATACAACCCAAATCAATTAAAAATGCGTCGAGTAATCTCTTAATCGTATAAACTAACTTTAAATATTCATAATTGTTAGATATAATTTCTTCTCATACATTAAAGTGCCTTTAAAAGTACACATAAACGTTAAGCCTATGGTCCGGAAACATATTTCTCAGTATTAAAAAATGAGTATCGGTTCCCTTTCACATAGCCCAAAAGGCATTGATGACTATTGCAAGGACTTTAAGGTCTTAGGCATGGCAGCCAAACATCTCCTACCGGAGTAGGAGCGTTCTCTCTTATCAGCAAAAAATACGATCCTCTTGACGAACCAAAACAAGTGTCGGCAATGGTAAAACTAAATTTAGTCGAAGCAATTTTGGAGACCGAATGAACTATAAAATTAAAGTTCATGGCAAACATATCTGATGTCAAATAAACAAACCAGCTCCAAAAGTTTTCACAGAATGTCGCAAGGTTTCTTTTTTTCCTGGTTTTATTTATACTTTTTTTTTTCCAAATATCTCTAGTAGATATGCAAATCACTTGTTCATCTAAAACACATCAAGACACATTAACCAGGCTTATATATAATCAATTATGTCATGCAACAACTTTGAAAAGTAATGGTTTTTGTACGAAGGACAAATTCTTACCTCAGTATAGTTATCCTTCTCAGAAATGAATGATTGATTAAGCGAAGTTGCTGCACCTTTCCCTTGCAAAATGAACACATTGCGACAAACTGACATTTGACGCTGGAATTACTCTAATGTTTAAGTCGGTAAGGGATTTAAAATGAAAGAAGCAATTAGAGGAAAAGAATAAGGGTCTGATTGTTTACCAAGTTTGGATGGATTTAAAAAAATAGTTTGATAGACCGTTTAATTATATATTTCGTTAGGACTTTTAAACTCAAAATTCATATTTCAACCCGCTCTCAACTAGTAATGAATAGTCTCATTAAATGTCACGAGGGGGTCTAAAGTTTTAAAAGTAAAAGATTGAATTTAAAGATAAAATGATTATTTTACAAAAAAAAAAAAAAATTATTCTTCTATCCACCTAATAATAAATATTTTAATAAATTGAATAATATAATTTGACATTAATCTATGAACCCCATACATATTTATGTCACCTATTAAACATGGCATTAAATTGAGTTTACAATTAAACACCAAATAAAAATTCCTTCAGTTGAATTTGAAGAGATTTTCTAAAACCAACACAATCTACCTTATGTGAATCATCCAAACGTGATCGTTCAAAAAAAAAAAAAATCATCCAAACGTGGCGTAAAAATACTATTCACGTACGAGGGTTTGATAAAAATCATGGATGGTGAGTTTCAAGAGAGAAAGAGAGAGAGAATTTATAGATAAAAATACTTATTTTACCTAAAATCTTATTTTTCTTTTCACTTAATAATGAACATTTTAGTTTATTGAAAAACATGATTTGACATAAATGCATAAATCTCATATATATTTACTAGCAACCTATACTTAAAGGCAAGATAAAATATTAAATTCGAACATTCAAAAAATTAATCTCACTATATCAAATTAGAATTTTTTATTTCTTTTATTTATTATTTAAAATTTACTTGTTATTTTATAAAATTTTCTCAAAATACATAATTCAACAAAATTGTTTCAACACATATACACTATTATATATAGACCATGTATAACATAAAAATTGTGTTAAATTATAAATTAATCAAATATTAAATAATTGAACATATGATAAAATTAAGTGATATATTTTTTGGAGAAAAAATATATAAGAGATAAAAATTTAATCTTATTATATTGATGTTGTTTGCCAAACATGAGATTAAATAAAATTTATTATTTTAATATGAAATTGAAATCTTTGGGGCTTTATGAATACACCAATCCCACCAAAAAACAAATCCAAACAGGCTCTTGGTTTTTGAGCTACCATCCATATGGTGAAAGAACACGAGAGAGAGAGAGACAGAGACAGAGAGCTAGTTAACAAAATCAGAACTAGTTTGAAACCCCATCTTGACAAAATCTATCAGATATTCATAATTCATAACATTAAATTCATCATAAACAAGAACAATTTCTTAAACACCATTGAGTTTCTACAGTTTTTATTAACGCATTTGAGGGAGCACAAAACAAGCTCATGCAAATACTATCCAACCAACACATAAATTGCATATATAATTCCCGGAATATATCCAAACAGCGTCAGCAACAAACAGATCCAGAACTCTACCTGCATTCAGTCCCACCAAACATCAAACACAGTTAATTCACAAACTCTCAAAACAACAAATCCCAACAAAAATCTAACTGTTTCTCCTAAATGTGTCAATACTCAAATGTTAAAAAAAAAAATTCTTTACTTACTCCACAGCCATAACGAAGGAAGACCCCAACAGGAGGTAAGAGAATCGCCAGTAAGACTTCGAGAAACGTTTCAGAACCCATGATTAATGGTTAATGAACCTGCAATTTGTGAGAATGGTTCTGCTAAATTTTGAGGATAGTTGGCGTAGAGAAGAGAGTCAGCTTTGATGGCAATGGGGTGAGAGAGAGAGAGCGGCAGGAGAAAAGAAGTACTGGGTAATGTGTCAGCTAAGACGGAGGTAGAGGGTTTAAAAGACACCACGTGGGAATTAGGGTTACACGTGTAATGACTTAGGAGTGTAATCGTGTCCCTTTCGACTCGGATCCATGACTGACCACTATTTGTTTTTTTTTTTTTTTTTTAATCACTTGAAAAAATAGGTGCATAAGAGATAGCATGCAAAGATCACTATTTATTTTTTAGTCAACTAAAAGGCTATGTAGACACTCTATCAAATTATATATTAAAAAATTATTAACTTCTTCTCATTTATAATTATCTCACTACTAACTAAACATACCCTATTTTATACCCTTTTATTAATGACTAAATTTATCTCAATATTTATTTTTAGGTTTTTCTTTCATTACCACATCTCACATAGTCTATAAAAAATATATTCAATCGGATTATCAACTAAAATTGAATAAACAATTATATATAGACTGTGTGATTCGATGAGAGATATTTAATAATCTTTTTCTTTTCTTTTTCAAGAAACTTAAGACCTACAAATTCTAAGAAATTTGTTTCTATATATTGAGAAATTAAGTGTGCAAATCTTTTTTTCCTGCAAATTCTTGAAAGAGAAGCACATAGAGGAATTAGAATACTATTTCAACGATGAGATTAGAGAAGATAGAGATCGGACAATAACAATTAAAGTAATTTGCAGGAAAGAAATCCAGAGTGGAATCTAGTTGAGTATATTTTATGCATAGACGGTGTGAAATGGGTATAGAAAAAAATCATAAAAGTAAAGACTGAGATAAGTTTAGTTATTAATGGGCCAAGTATAAAATGGGTTAGACTTGGTTACAAGTGAGATGAGTATAAAATAGGTAAACTTAATAGTGATGAGAACAGAGATTTATGGAGTAAAAATAACCTCACCCGAAAACAAATCACAACAGTTTGTGAGGTGTTCATCTTTGTCCAATAAATTATTGAGGGGATTCAACAAGGAATTCTAATAATTACTTCAATCTAATACGCGATTTGAGTGTGTAACAACATTAAGAGAAATTTAGATTCAATTTAATTTAAATTCTTTAAAAGATATACCGAAAACTCATCTTGTGTTAGGTATTGTTATATCTCAACAGTACCCACCAAACGAAATGTGAATAATTCTTGATCTTGTGTTTGGGAAGAAATGTTACTGTTCTGGTCTTGTTTAATTTCCTAATGATGGAGTTCTCACCAATTACCCTTTTTATTGACATGATAGGAGTGTTGAGTAAGGTTAGTAAATTTGTTCATCACTATCAACACCAAATTTATGTTTCTACTGTTTCACCAAGTCGCTTGGCACAAGTACATCAGGTTTTACATCAGTGCATGTATGTAATTGATGGTGATATAATGCAGGCATTACAAGGCCTAAAGAACATGGTTTCTAAGAACATGGTTTTAGGTGAACAAAAACCTGCGAACTAATTAGGAATCTACAGTATTTCCTCTTCGCCTCACCATGACAGAAAGAAGAACAAAAACCTGCAAACTAATTGCCTAACCATGAGAACAACTTAGAAGTTGGCCATTTGTTCCCAGTCTTTACTCTTTAGGAATCTATGGCACCAACAGATATAAATTTTTCTTTTTGTGAAGCGATGACTAGTGTTCATCTGCCCGAGCAATACATTGTGGGCTAGAATTTGGGAATTGAACACTGCAAATTGGGGTAAGGCAGGCGACTCCAGTATAGAGGACCCTTGCACAGTGGTATGATTTCCATTTAGTTTTATTTTTTGTTGTTGGCAAAGTTGAGCAATATTGATGACTGAAATTGTATTAATTACTCAAGTAAGTGGGAAAAACCAATTCCAGGCTGTTGAAGCTTGCTTACTTCTTTCTGGCCTCTACCTTCTTGTCATCGAACATTTGCAGGAATCAAGAATTCTCATGTTGCTAAGGACTAATTTAAAGGATAAATAGACCTATACTAATTCACAGAGAGAGAGAGAAAGAGAGTATGAAGGCTTTATGCAGCACAGTTCAATGGAGCAAGGAAAAAGCATCACATAAAAAATGAGAAAGCTTATGTGATTCTGTTACAATAATTCATTTTTCTAATGTTTGCTTTGCAACCCAAGTTGAGATGCAGGTTAGGAAGAGAGAGAATGAATGAATCCAATCAGATGCCCAAGAATCAGAATTAGAATACAATAAAAGTAAAAAAGAATATATCGATGGAAAGAGAAGCCACTGCAGATCTGATAATAAGGTTATTCTGAGAAGCCACCACCCTCCTTTAGTTTTTTTGCCATTAAGTGCTCTTTGCCATTGTTCTTACAGCTCCACCAGTTCCAACTGCACCTATTCCACAGCCAAGCACACTGTATGTGTAATATCAGTTTAGAATTACAAGATAAAAACTGCTTCCCAACTGGTACAACTTGCATATGATTCAAAACACACACAAAACCACACACTTGGTTCCCTTTCCCTTGCTGCCTATGGAGTGAGTTCCTTGATAGCAATGAGCCTCGCCCTGTTAGCTCGCTAAGTGAGTTTGCTTCCCTCCATGATTGCCTTTAGGAAGGCATTGTCCCGGGCAGTCCTAAATTCTTTTATAAGCTACAATCTCATTCTTAAACCTCTTGGGACCCTCTTCATGAATTTCTTGAGATAGATTCCTATGAAGTTTCGTTACTGCATCAATAACTTCTTCTCGTTCAGTTTGTTCTGTTAAATGTAGAAAAATTTATGGTATCGATTTCGATATCACACAAAAAAAGATTAGGATAAGTTAAATATATATTTTTTTTTTTGAAAAAGACTAGTTATAATTCAATGAGATTAAAACTACAACTTAGTGTAGTTTATAATTTTGTGATTGATCCTAAAACAATCGAATGGTCCTAAAAAGTTGAGATTGCATCTAAGTTTTTTCTATCAATTTCATTGAATTGATCTTTTAATTTTATTTTTATTTTTTTTGCTATAAAATTTTCAAACTTGCGTCGACTACTCACTAGAGCTCAGCAATTGATCACTGTGGTTTGAGTTGGTTTAAAATATGTTAGTAACGGAACTAAAATGTTTAACCCTTAGAGGGTGTGAAAAGGGATTGAATTTAAGACATCAGAGTTACTAAAGAACATGCCTAATTACTGAACTACCCTAAAGATTATCGATCTTTTAATATAATTTAGTTGTAATTTGACTTGTAAATTTTGACATCTAACAAGTTACCACAAAATTTTGGTATTATTTGAGCACGTGGGTCTGCCAAAGTGCAGCTGGCAATGGGTTAAGCCCAAACGCAGACTCACGTGACAACGTGCTTCATGTTGGTGATGGGTACCTGTATTGGGAGGAGAAATTGATATGGGCTTTGACATCAGAGTTGGGCCTGTCATCATAGGTCCAGCTGTGTTTGGTGAATAAACGTGGGCTGGGAGGCCCATTGTCTGCGATTGATGGAAATGGTAGAAAGGGTACATTGGCACCAACGAGTTTGCACCCACAATTGGCTGACCAGTGTACACTTGAGAGAAATGGCCGTGGTTCATGTAGGACCCACCAGTGTAGCTTAACTTCTGAAAAAACACCACAGTCAATGGCAACAAAAACCAAGTTCTAATTGGGTCCCTCATTGGACAAATAAGAAATTAAAACCTCTAAAATTAAAAATACTATCATCGATAATTGTTTGCTTTGATATGCATACCAAAACCAAAATTTCCAAGAATTTTAATCTCAAACAATACTAGAGTTGTGTGGGTTACGTTGAACTGAACTTTATTTTTTAAAATTCGGCCTAATTTCAAAGGATCGAAATTTATATATAATTTCGTCCAAAATCATTTTCTCATTTATTCAACAAGGTTTTCACCATTACATGGTGTGTGATGGATTATTGAGAAAATTAAAAGAATCTAATAATAAAGTAGATACTAGATCTAAGAAAGATAACGTGCTTTCAATCAGCCATAGATCAATAAATGCGCATTCACAGCTCTATTTTTTGTTTTCCTTCTTTCTACAATGCTATTGGTTGCATTTAGATTAACAACTTACGTGGTTGTAACTCATATCTGTGGAAATGAAGTTCGGAGAATACCTGAAAAAAATAAGATATGTTACTACTACACCATAATTAGTCCATGAAGTAGATAGAGCACTGAATAAAGGGTGAATTACATTTTGTACCATCAAAAATTTAACAGGGTGATTTTTGACTTAAGAAGCAACAAAAGCTAACGGAAAGGTAAATTTAATCTTTGAAGGTGTAAAATAAAAAATCTTTAATCTTCCAAGGGTGCAAAGTGAAATTTCCTCGTGAATAAAATCTAATAGACAAGAGAGACAAATACCCATAGTAAGGAACGGCCTGATGGTGCTGATGATGAAACGGCGATGCAGGTGCTCTCGCCGGATAGTACCACTGCACGTGACTCGCAGGTCCAGGTGATGCAGATCTCGGTCCAATATTGGTGGCTTCATTATTAACATAATTTTAGTTAGAACACTATTATTTCTATGCATATTTATCAACGAAAAAAAAAAAAATTGGACCCCCATGATAACTAAATTAATTTAATTATGAATCCTAATATTTATTAAAATTTATTATATATTTAATAATTATAATTAATTAAGTGAACAAATTAAATTAATATTTTAAATTCAAGTAATACATGGTTGTGGAGGCGGGGTGGAGGACACCCTTGGGCGGCGTGCCCCGAGAGAAGCCAGGTTACAGTTCGCTCGGCGACCATTAATGATCGGCGTGGCGTCCTCGCAAGCCTTCTTAGCCGCTTCGGCTTCCTTAAACGTCACCTAACCAAAACATAACCACAGCGCACATTAGCAATCACCATCTCCACCGGGGACAAGAAGAAGAATAAAAAAATAGTCAACAAGAGTCAAATGATGACTTACGAAACCGTAGCCCTTGGATCTGCCGGAGACCTTGTCGGAGATTATGACAGCTTCCAAGATCTCGCCGTACTTGTCAAAATGGTCTCTCATGGCCTCCTTTGAAGTCTCCCATGCTAAGCCTCCCACGAACACTTTGGTCATCCTTGTGTCTCCACCACCCAACTGCCCATTGTTGCAGATCATCGTCATTTACCAATATATACGTATTACGTACAATTTTCCTGAGCATGCACTTCTTCTTTCAAGTTGAAGGCTTGGAACAAAAGAAAACCCTTCTCTGTAGAGAGAGAGAGAGAGAGAGAGAGAGAGAAGGTGTGTATATAAGTGGACAAGTTGGGGGGGGAGAGAGAAGAGGAGGGGATTGTTGATTATGTACAACATGTGTAGGCTGTATATATATATTATATGCTATATGTATGTGGTGATGGAATACTACAATGGAGAACAACAAAGAGGGACAGAACAGAAGGGCAGACAGAGAGGATTATGTGGTGAGGCCATCAACGTGGTCTCCTTTTCATCATCTATCTGGCTTAATTACTGTGCTTTATGTATTCCTTAGTTTCTCTACAAAGCCCTATGCTTATGCTTTTTATTTAGAAGTTGGGTTGGAATGTACCTGTTTTTGGGAGAAAGTGGACCCAGTGATTCAGTACCTTAAGCCTATAGGTAATTAGTTGATTACTTATGATAGTTTGAGTGTTTTTTTATCCGATATCAGACTTACACACATATAACATGGTGACTCATAAAAAAAGATAAAAAATTTAATTTTTAGAAGAACAGACTCTTGTAAAGAGTGATTGGCACACAGTATTTGTAGAAAGTAATAGATCAGACTCAAGACCATGGATATGGGTAACTTGAAAATAAATATAATTTTTTTTATATGAGTAATCTTTAGCGGTATTTTTGTTGATATTCAATTATTCCTTCAGTCACGGAGATTTCATAAGGTCCTTCCTTCGCCTATCAATCCAATGCCCACTGAGAAGTACAAAGTCAATAATTTTGTCCAAGGTGTAGTAGTATTGTGAATGCTTTGTCTTGAAGTCATGTTTTGTGCCATGTTGTGTATTGAAGTTGTGATTAAGTTGGAATAATGCTATTACTCTGCTAAAACCGTGTCTTCTTGCTGTCATCACATGCCGGCAATAGTGGAAACAATAACCATGGTTAAATCTAATTTATTGAATTAATTATTAAAATTATTAAATTAATAATGGATTCCAACCACGTATGGAAGTTTTTCTCATTCCCTTTGTATGGTTGGCTAACAAAAATAAAGGAAAACTTTATAATAATAGCAAATTTTATTGTGGGTAACGTTACACAGGTGATCCGCATGAGTAGTTTAGTGGTGTAAAGTTAAATCTAAACGATTAAAAAGTCATTATTATAGTGTCACATTATTTGATCTTTATTTTTTTGTTTCTTTTTTATTGTAAGTTTAGCATTATTTTTTTGTTATGTTTGCAGGGAGGAAAACGTATTATCTTATGTTCTGTTTAGTATGATAGAATAATAGAATGATGAAAATTTTGAATGATAAATAAAACATCATGTTTGGTAAAGAAGGAAATAAGAATGATGAAAAAATGGACAGATTAACTTTTCTTCCAACTCACCAAAATCAATCCCCCCAAAATCGGAAAGAAAATGGATAAAAAATTAATTATTTCATATAAAAATACAATTATAATATAAAAATTAAATTAAATTAAAAAAAAATTAAAATTAAAAAAAATATTTTTTTTCAGCTTAATTAAGGTTGAAAATTTTTGACTCAACACGATGACACGACTCGAACTTGAAAATGACCTGACAAGCGAATAAGAATATAAAAAACTCATAATTTTATGACTCAATACGAATCTGACACGACACGACTCGATTGTCACCTTTAATCTTAGCCAGCACAAAAAAAAAATTTTTAAAAATTAATCATTTTTATTTTCCATCCATCCAACCAAACACAAAAGAAATAAAGTGTATCATTTCTACTTTTCATCCTTGAAAGATAAAAAATTTATCTTTCATAATTTTCATATTTCTTACCAAACAGGGTATTAGAGTCCATCTACACGCTTTTCTACAGGGAAGAATATAAGAAAATTTCAAGGAAAAAAAATCAAAAAAAATTAAGAATTTGCATGTAAAATGAGGGAGTTCTAGCTTCTTTTGGCATCTAAGAAGAAAGAACAATTCAATACTTGTGAATGTGAATGTTTTTAATGTTATTTAGCTATTATCTATCAAAATTGTTCACTTACCCCAACACCTGATACAAACAACAGGACAATCACCGGTATTATAAACCTATTGTCTAATATAGACTCCAATTTTTTTTTTAAAAAAATTACATTTATCACATTCTTTTAAATACGAACAAATATATAATACAGAAAAACAAACTTAATTGGACAACAGCCCCTTGTAATCAGATCAGGCAGCTGATTGAACCAGAGGCATGGGAGGGCATAGGCTAGATAGAGACTCTGTTATCTTTTCTTTTAATTGTTGCTGCACTTTCAGTTTATATTTAGCAAATGTTATATGATTGGCACCAAAAAAAAAAACAGTTGATGAGTGATGCCCAATAGTTTTTCTGTCAACCCCCCACCTTTCTTACTTTTTTTCCCACAATTTTTTATGTTCATCGCTTCACCACGTATTAAGGGGTGTTTAAATTTTCGATTACTCGCAATTTTCTACCCGACTCTATTGAACGGCAAACTGAAAAAATTGGATAGAAATGCGGAAGAGTTTTAAAACCATAATTCCCCAACCATATATAGTTTAAACTTAAAATAATTGTTATTGTATTTGTGCAACAATTATGATAGATTAATGTTTATATTTTTTTGTGTTTTATTATAATTATTGTTGTAATTGTTTTAGATTTTAGTGTTATTAGTTTATTACGTTGTTAAATTGATACATGTTATTTAATTAAATTGTTAAAATAATCCAAAAATTAACAACGACAAAGGTGTTCACCTAATTTTCTACCTGACTTCATCTCTGATTAATTTGGTTGGAAGCCGGATAGGAATATAACACTTGATCGGTAGAGTAAGTCAAAAAAAAATTCTTTCGCAAAGTATCGAATAAGAAGACGAAAAATCATAGTATTTCTTATCAGTAAAGTACGATGAACACTCCTACCCATAATTAATAGTTTTTAATGTATCCAGATGTCCGTAATCGTTCATAAACCATGCCCACCGGATAAATGAAAAATGAGTCAATCTATATACAATTAATTATTGAAAAATGTCCTTCATCGACTCACCTGTCTGCACTATGAATAATTGCAATGCAGTTAAAATTTGACCTTATCTTGATGTAAATGCTGTAGTTGACTGCCTCCGAGCACATCCATGCTCTGCTGGCCACGATTTAAAAAAAAAAAGACTTGCGGTCCAAAAATATCGTAAAATGAGAAGAAATGGTATGTTGTACAAATGAAAATTCAATTTTTTTTTTATCTCAAATACATTTGAACTTTTTTTTTTGGTTAATGGTGTCAAAACTTGCACCGACTATTTCTTCGAACTCAGTGATTAGTTATCGTAGCTTGAACTGAATTATAACATATTCTTAAAGTGACAAGAATGATTAGCTTTTATAAAGTATGAAAAGAAATTTAACCTCTAAAACTTTTAAATTACCAAATATCATACTCAACCATTGAATCATGTTTAAGTGTTCAAATTTTCTATCTCAAATACATTTGCACATTGGGACCCACAAAATAATATGTGAGATATAAATGTATTTAAAAGGAGAGATTTGAGTTTTAATTTAAGTAATATTTTAGACAATTTTCACGTTCAAAACTTGTAAAAGAAAAAAAAGTCATTTTGAAATATAAATATAATAATTATTAATCATCATTAATTCAAAAAAGAATTAAAACATCCTCTAATTAATTGAAAATGGGAAAAGAGTAAAACCGTAGTAACCACATCCAAAATTGCATGGTTTTTCTTTCAGACTTTTCCTCAGTTTTGGCAAGTATTTTCTTCTATTTTCTTTCCACTTTAGGTTCGACAAAGAAGAACAAAGGGCACGTGACAGTGGCCAGGGGTGTACATAACATTGCCCCTTCCCATGTAACGTGGCCAGCTGTATGGCAAGAGGAGGCATTTTTGGTAAAGGACAAAAAGGTCAGTTTGACCACCAAGAAACACCAGTTATCTCTTGCAAAAAGAAAATAACACCACATAATTTAAATAAAATTAAAAAAATTACGGTTCAAATATATATAAGTTTTATCAACTTTTTCGGTGAGTAATAACATACATTTAGATTAAAATTTTTATATTTTATTTAAATTGTATAACATTTGTCAACAAATTGTTGCTTGGGATATATGTTTTGTTTATGAAGTTGAGGTGCCTGTGGAAAGGGTCAGTTGGAACCCTCGTGATTCTTACAGCATTTTCAGTAAGATTTTGTATTTTAACTTCTACAGACTTTTTATATTTTAATTATTTTTTTAAATATTATTTCACATATTTTATACATTTGTTAAGATAGTTAGAGGGAGGAAGAGAGAGAAAGACAAAGAGTGAACAAGAGAAGTGAAAAAGAACAAGAAAAGAAAGAAAAAATTATAAAATATTTCTACAGTAATACTCTATATTTGAAATATCGCTGTAGCAAAAAATATTATTTTAAAACATCTGAACATATTATGTTTGAGCGTAATTTTTATCTTTAATTAGTTAAATTTTAACTATTTTTTAATTTTACACATTCTCTTGAAGATGATATTAGTTGGCAAACTAAACACTTTCCACCTCCTAACACTCTGATTATAACACCATGTGAACTCTGACATTTTGAGTGAGAATTTCAACCCAAATCAATTGCATAATGAAATCGTCCATAGTTACTACTTTGGAGTTCAGTCTCGCAATTCAAATAGGTAAGCAAAATGCATCTTTGAAATTTTGACATAATTAGTCTCCGTGACACTCACAATGCGTTTCTAATTTAACATGTGCGAAAAGATTTGGATCAGCACATGGTGTGGGTATAATAATGCATATACAGATGCAGAGAGAAGATAATTTAGAGAGAGCATACAAATTAAGGCAACGATCATGGCAAAACTGTGTGCCTGTGTGGGGTGGGATGGGGAGGCCCCGGGGGGGGGTTGCTTGAGCTGGCGAGCTCGT